CCACAACCAATGACATGCGGGGGAATCAAACAATCTACTGATTCCTATCAACTGACAGGATAGGAAGAATAATCTTCAAATGGTCCTACTCTTTTTGAAATGAAAAAAGAAATAAAAATTAAGTTTAGGTTAAATAAAGTGATTGTAAATATTGAATTGCACTAAAAATAGAATCAATGGAACCTACTTTGCACCCTTTCTTCATTCCGTTCAAAGATCGACACAATCACATCCACATAAGAGTATTTCCACTGTGTCGGGAGACAAATAAGCTTGATAAGCGTCAATAACCCTATTCTCAGCATTGAATGCAGATTTTGAAGCAACCGTAGTGATGGGGATGGCTAGAATCTCATGAGCCATCATAGACAATATATGATACTTGGTTGAATTTGCCTTCCACCATTGTAAAGCATCGAATGCCTCACAATTCCCCATGCACGTATGACACCCCTCTCCCAAATAATAGTCTAGCTCAGACTTACTTGGCTCAACAGTCTCAACATGTCCAAAAAATTGCTAAAATCACCCCAACTAGCAGCTCCCGCAGCCGTTGCCTCCTCACCAACGGCTCCAACTCCATCCCCTACTAGAGGAGGCCCACGGGAAATAGTAGAAGCCTTATTAGCTTTAACATACTCCCTATATAGCTCATACAATGCATCTCGAATAGTTATAGTATCTACACGGGCTTCTAACTCAGAATACATCTTGGGGAATGCCCACTAAATTACCCTCATTTTCAATCGATGATCTAATATAGCAGCCACAGACATCAACACATTACATTCCCCCCAATATTTATCGAACTTCTCCTTCATCTTCCTTACCATGTTTCTAATAAACTCATATTCGTCTTTACTTTTACTATCCAACATCATTTTCACTAGACACACCTCCTTTAAAAATAAATTAGATGTCAAATAATTAGTCCCTAAAATGAGATTGGTTGTACCACTAAAATCTTTAAAATATCACACACTTTCTCCCAATCTTCATCCTGCAGAAAATAATGATAACTTTTATCCCTTTCTTTCAATCTGGGAAAAACTTTTTTGAACTTAATTGTCGTTGCTAACATTTCATATGTCGAATTCCATCTTGTTTTACAATGTAGAATAAGCTTCCGAAACGGCAATTTAAGTTGTTGAACAATCTTAGAAAAAACCTTAATCATACTCTATGAAGCATTGCTGTATAAGACACTCTCATGGGTGTCATCAGTAATATGTCTAATTTGATAAAGTCCTTAAACAATAAGGTTCAAGATATGAGCGCAACATCTTACATGAAACAATTTACCTCCACAAATTAAATTCTCTTTAACTTCAAAATTTTCCCTCAAAACTTTGATTACAACATCATTACTTTAAAGCATTATCCACTAAGATAGTGTACACCTTATTTTCGATCTCCCATTCCATTAGGCACTTGGAAATGGAGTCGGCAATCGCAACACTGGTTGGGGGAGGAGGTAAATGAACAAAGTTCAAGACACGTCTATTCATCCTCCAATTACCATTTATCCAATGCCCAGTGAGCACCATATATTCCATCTTCTGATTGTCGGAATTCCATAAATCCATAGTCAAACTTATCTTTTCACATTCTTCAACATCATTTTCTCATTTTCATATACATTCATACAATCATTTTTACAAGTATGGCAGGAAACCAAACTCCATTTAGGAATCTCATACTTCATCATGTTGTTCAAGCCCTCTTCCTTTACAACTGAAAATGGATGCTCGTCCATAAGCACCCAATGGGCGATAAGTTTCCTCATTTTCATCATGTCGAACTTTCCATTTAAAGCAGACAAAATAGAAGTTCCAACATTAGAAACCAACAACAGGAAAAGTAATATGTTGTTGTCTCATGGAAGCTATTCTCTTTGAACATCATTTTAAATGTCTATTAAACTGAGTGGTGCTTATGGTGGCATTAATACAGAGCTTGGCTTTGCAATGGATACACTCTGCCTTTTTTGCACCACCCAAGAGAACCACCTCTTTAAACTTTGTCCAAACCACTGATGTTTTAGCTATCTTTCTCCTCTGAATTGGATTGTCATTCTCCCCACCATTATCTGGGCTACTAGCATTGTGTTCCGTATTTGTAGTGGTCTCATTCAAGTTATGCTTATTGTTTGGTGTAATTGTAATTGTATCTTGCTCTGTAAGGTTGCTTGAGGTATTGTCGTCCATTTCCAAACCTATAATACAAAATAAAAAACAAAGGTGTTAGCTTTTCTTATTGATATAGATTTGAAGTTTTGGAAATCAAGGAACATTAAAGTTATTTGATGATAAAAGCCCATTTCTATTAATACATATCTCAACTTGCAAAAACCAAAGCTATCTATCTAGTTAATGCAGCTATCGTATAAAAAGCAAGAGTGCAAGTTTTCACAACTTTAAGAAAGCTTTTCATGTTTCTTTACTCTGCAAATTGCAGTTTTAAACTTCTCATTCATATTTTCACTGCAATGTTTCAAACTTCAATTAATATTTGTAGATTATTCAGCACCATGACCGTAAATCTGAGCTTCCTAAACCATTATGAGCATAAAACCAGTTTCAAGATCAAAATACTAGCTAATATTGATGCAAAATGCTAATGAAATACATTTTTTTTAACACTTATTAATGATCTCAATTTTTTTTTGCAACTAATCATATATAATAACACATTTCAATAGTCCTTAACATATTGGAAAGCCAAAAGCAACAGCACAAACATATTCATACTAGCATTTATAATAACACAGTTCAATTAACTCAATGTACGTACTCATATGAAAAGAGAACAATACTAGCATGTTAGGAAAAACAAAGAAGAAAAGTGGGCCAAAATAATACCTTACTGTGACGGCGAGAAAGACGGTGGGACAATGGGTAACTCGACAGCAGGAAGAGAACAAGACAGCGATGAAGAGAATAACAGGCGAATGACAATGGCGAAATGACGATGACGACAGTAAGAATCATGTTTTACAAAATTTTATAATGGGGGAATTTGTCATTTTATTCAACTATTAAGAATTACATTTAACCCCTAATAGTTTAAAAAACCCTCGATGTAACCCCTTTTAACTCGAGCCAGACTTGGCACACAAGCCGTTTGAGCTGAGCCGAGCAATCATCGAACTCGGCTCAAAACTCATTCACAAATCAAGTCGAGTCAACTCGATTGAAGCTAAGCTGGCTCGATTCAAGCCAAGCCGAGCCCTTGATGAGCCTTACTCAAGTCGAATCGAGCTGGCTCGCAAGCCGCTTGATTCATTTAACAGTCCTACAAGGGTCTGTTTGCTGGAATTCAAACATGCTAGACATCTGAAATCACTGATTTAACCGACCGAGCCACCCAGGAACCAACCCCTTGACTAGGTCAAGGGGCGATCCGAGTTTCAAAACATTGCTAGCTAATCTAACTATTAAAAAACAACATTATAAAATGGATGACACCAAATACAGGAACACAAAACCTTATTATCCATCAAAACTTTAAATTGACCAACACAAAATCTCATTGATAATTTTAGATTAGCACCAAGAAGCCAAATTTCTTAAGATACTCCATTTCAAAGTTTTAAAACTAAATTTATTTTTTTCTTATGGCACCCATAAATTCCATAAATGCCCTTCATTCCTTTTTTTTTTTATATTTTATTTAACATTTCATTCTTTTCCCCTCCACCATCGTCATTCCTAAAATAAAATTTTAGATAATTGAAAAAAATTAAAGCAAAAAAAAATAAAAAATCCTTACAAATAATCACAAGCACCTAATATATTTAAATAATATCAAAAAATATATAGATTAAAATCGCTACCAATACTTTGAAGAAAAAAATAATAATAAATTTATATGTTAAGTAATTAAAAACCTACAATTTTATATTCCTTGTAACCTAATATATTCTTTTGCATATCTTCTTTCTCCAATAAACTATCATTTTTGCTCTAAGAATAATTTGAATAGTAAAAAAAAAAATTAAGGTTTATGAGATAATAATTGTGTCAAAAGCATTTGTAAGAATAGGAAATTAAAGTTAATTTTAATTGTGTTGTTGTTGATCTTCTTCTTCTTCTTCTTCTTTAGTTTCTTTTCTAAGTTTTATAATTTTTAAACCAGTTATGAATTACATTGATTAAATAGAAAACTGTCATATGACGCAACTTAAATTAAACAAAGAGTTTATGTTAGTTTTTGAGTGTTTTTAGAGTTAATGATTTTGTAGAAACAATAGACTTTAAAAAATTGTAGATCGTAAGTAATAACATGTTTGTAAATCCTTCTTAAATATTTTTTAATATATATAAAAAAAAAAAACAATAATAAAAAAAAATTTAAAAAAAAATAAAACTATAAAAAAAAATAAAAAAAAAGAAAAAAAAAAAAAAAAAAAAAGAAATAAAAAAAACAATATAAAAAAAATAAATAATGAGAAAAAAATATTAAAGAATAAATTTAAAAATTAAACAAACATCTTTCACCCTTTGAGAATCACGCAAACGTATCTCACCTAAAATGCTTCTTATTGAGAACTTAAATCATAAACTAAACCCCAAACTCATTCTTTAGACTATGTGGGATATAACAAGAATATTTTTTAATGTGTTGACCTCCATCCAATACATGTGATAAGGAATTCCAAGTTTTCATAGGGGTATTTTCGTCCAATAATTTCAACTTTGGTTATAAGTAGCAAACTCGGGAAACTATTTTTCCAAAAAGAGCCTTCCCAAATCCCAACGTGGGAATCTTGTAAAAACCCAATTACAAATTAGGGTTTTAACTCATCTTCTAGGGTTTTATCAATCAAGCAATGAGCTATTGAGCCCAACCATAATGAGGAAGAAAAAACTCAATTAGAGAATAATTCTCGAAGCTTCTTCTTCTTCTGAGCAAAAGCATCAATTTTTGCTTATGGGTAAGAAACTTGGATTTTCTCATTCTCATTCTAGTTGTTTTTAATCCGGCCATTTTATTACAGTTCTTGCTTAGCATTTCAAATATCCCACATTGATTCTGCTGAAATTTAATGTTTAGCTCATTAAATCTCACGTCTTGCCATGATATTACCCAGAATCCGCAAAAGGGTATTTGAATTATCTAAGATGATTGGCCAATCCAATCAGATTGCTCCCTTTTCTTCTGTGTTCAATGAAAAATGTGTTGTAATGCGGTACCCATCTTTCAGTTCAGTTAAATTTCGAACCTTTTGCAGTTCTAGAGTGACACACTTAGCAAAAGTCAGTCCCACTGAGTTAACTCAGTCACCTGGTTCTTTGATTTCCAACCAGGTTTCTCGGCTGGCTAGAACCGAGGCTCAAGATGTGTTATTTGATTACTTGCATGGTACTAGGAGCTTAAGCTATACGGATGCAGAGCATATCAGCAAGAATTCGCCATATTTTATTCAAAGTTTGTTATCCAAGATTGATGCCGAGAAGGATGTGACTCGGTCTTTAGCCAGGTTCCTTAGATACAATCCAATTAATGAGTTTGAACCATTTTTCGAGAGCTTGGGTTTGAGCCCATTGGAGATCTCCTCACTTCTTCCGCAGCACTTGATGTATTTGAGTGATGATGATATCTTGCTTGAGAACTATCATGTGTTGTGGGTTTATGGGATTCCTCGTAATAAGATGGGAAAGATGTATAAGGAAGCGAGAGAGATATTTGGGTATGATTATGGAATATTAAGTTCAAAACTTCAGGCTTATGAAAATTTGGGTCTAAGTAGAAACACAGTTATTAAGCTAGTCAGTTGTTGCCCATCGCTTTTGATTGGTGATGTTGATGATCAATTTATTAAGGTTCTTGAAAAATTAAAAGGGCTAGGATTCAAGAATGACTGGATTGGGGGATACTTATCTGGTAAGAGCACATACAATTGGAATCGAACAGTTGACACAATGGAATTTCTTGAGAAAGTGGGTTATAGGGAGGAGCAGCTTTGTGATCTATTTAAAACAAATCCAGGGTTAGTCTTTGAGGGTTCTGGGCGGAAGGTTTATTTGTTGGTTGGCCAGTTACTCAAATTGGGTTTGAAGATGAATGAAATCTATTGTTTGTTTATGCAAAAGCCACAACTGTTGTCTGGAAAATGTACAAAGAATCTATTGCAGGCTGTGGGATTCTTGGTTGAGATTGGAATGAGAATGGAAAACATTGCAAATATAGTGTCTAAGCATGCGGAACTTATGGGTTCATGTTCTCTTAAAGGACCTAAAACTGTTTGCAGCAGTTTAAAAGTCAACAGAGATGGTTTATGTCAAATTATAAAAGATGACCCGTTGAAATTGTTCCATTTGGCTTCTAAAACAAAAATTAAAATTTATGAACAGGCGGAACTCCAAAATCCTAGTAAACATCTGGAGAAAACAACATTCTTGTTGAGATTGGGGTATGTAGAAAACTCAGAAGAGATGACGAAAGCTTTGAAAAAGTTCCGAGGAAGAGGGGACCAACTACAGGAGAGATTCGACTGCCTGGTAGAAGCCGGTTTGGACACAAATATTGTCAGACGCATAATTAAACATGCGCCAATGGTGCTTAACCAGAGCAAAGAAGTGATCGAAAAGAAGATGGATTTCTTAAAGAACTGTTTAGGGTATCCAATCGACTCTGTAGTGGCATTTCCATCATATTTATGTTATGATTTGGAGAGGATTAATCATAGATTTACAATGTATGTGTCGCTGAGGGAGAGAGGTGCAGCGAAGCCCAAATTGTCCTTAAGCACTATCCTTGCATGTTCAGATGCAAAATTTGTAAAATATTTTGTAGATGTCCACCCTGAAGGTCCAGCCATCTGGGAAAGTATAAGGAAATCGTCAAATTCAAGCTAAGGTGAAGTCTATACTTCATTTATATACTTTTTTTCATAAATCAAATTGAGTCCACTTGGACAATATAATTCTGCATTGCTAACCATATATTGTTGCACATCTATGTAAACTCTGATATGATTGTTGCACCTCATCTTCTCAAATACTTGCTACGAAATTTTGCATAGTTGGGTCGTTCAGCATGCAGTTTGGACTTTGGGCAATTTAAAAACAGTAAGTGTGTTGTTAATGACATAAAAACTGAATTGATACCATTTATATCTCATCTTACTGTAGTTTTTGGAACGAGTTTGTTTTCAGATGTATTTGTGGTAGTTTTTTTATTGTCATATTTTCAGGAACCTAATATGTCCTTGAAAAAACTGAGGAAAACTGAATATTCATATTCATCTAGTTTCCAAAGACCTAATCTAGTATTAACTGGGATTGAATGTGAAAATGTGAAAATTAGAAGTTTTCATGGTACTAGTGGATGTCACTGTATTGACTGAACATTCTCTCTGGAGTTATGCAGATATCAAGTTCATGTATCTGGATGGCAGTAACAGGCTAATAGCAGCATTCAACGGAATTTTAGAAATTTCTGTGTGAAATATTAGAAGTGGAGATTGAGAGGTTGTTTTATTTACGTTTAACAGAATGGAAAACTTGTTCTAAAATAATTTTGAGATTTGTACAACGTGATTGGAGGAAATGAAACAATTTATATTTTCCAGGGTTGCTACAACAGGCAGTAAATATATTTGGGAGCACGCCGACGGATTATCGGATCTTTAAACAGGAACTATTTTTTGGATGAAATATAGATTTAAAAGAATAATTCGATTACCTGCCTCATATTTCAGTTGTATTACAAATACTCAAATGGAATACCTTTTGGCCTAGCTCTGCTGATACTTAACAAGATCTTCAGCTCTGTATTTCCCCTTAATTCAAGTTTATAATGTTTGATTTGGTTCAATTTTCATTTCACACCTCATTTCTTCAAGCTTTTCATATGATTCTAATGTGAAGTCCTATATAAAGAAAGAGGGTTTCACTTATTGTCAACTCCGGGTCCAATGTTGTTTGCTTTGGTTTGTTTTTGGGCTTCACAAAAATTCTTCTACTCAAAATGCACCTACTTAGTTATGTGGATCTATAAATTGAATCTCAAGTTCATTAGCTAACAATGTAGTATGACACTTATGGTACCTAAAGGTAATGTAATACTCCATATAGAACCATGGATCATGGACGGAGGGTTGACTAAGAGTCTGTTTGTTCAAGTTTATAAGCAGGTAGTGCTTATAAGGTAATTTAAACTTAAAAGAATTTGAAATTTAAGCAGTTACGTGTTTGATCAAAATAATTATAAGTAACTGATAAATGGTTGACGCGTTTGGTAAAATGTAGTTTATAAGTACATTTTATTACTAAAATAACTAAAACGAATACTACATTATTTTATCAAAAAATAAATTACTGTATGTTAACTCAATTTTTTATTATAATTATAAATAGGGGTGATATGGTAATATATTTGATCAAAGTTGCTTATAAGCAGAATGGTTCAAAGTTGTTTATAAGCAGAATGTGTATAAGAAGAAAAAAAAAGATCAGGTTTCCCCCAACTTCTTATTATTATTATTATTATTATTTTGGTTTATAAATCCAAAAAAAATTATAAACAAACATGCCAGCTTGATTTTAGAGTTTATAAGCTCAAACAAACATCCCCTAAATCATGATCCGATGGTCCTCAATAGGGAGGAGTGGTGGATAGCATTACATAATCTCATTTAGCTAGATCCAATCTTCTAACCTCTCATATTTTCTCAAATGGCAATACTATACTTACAATTCAATCTTACAAATCCGACATGACAGTTCGTAATTGGTTTTTGATGAATTTTCCCGTCTGACCAATTGCAAGCTATCACGTCGAAGTTGTGAGAAAAAATTTGTGAGATTAGGTTGTGAGTCGATATTTATTGTTTCTCAAACTATCCTTACCTATAAATAACACCAACAAACTTTAATTTCTCGAATACGGTAATAATAGTGCTATACAAATTACAAAAGTAATTATTTTAAGAAAAGATATTCACAGATGGATGTCAAAACGATTAGAGGAATAAAGCAGGGCCACAACTGTTTTTTTAAGAGTGCAATAAAATTTAGCTGATTCATATTTGTTAAAAGGGGGAAAAAAAAAAGAGAGAGAGAGAGATTCCTCCTCTTAATTTAGTGGAAGATAATTAAAAGGGTCCTCAATCTTTTCCACTTTAATAGCATAAGGAATTAATTCTGGCAATATTTTAACCTCTAATGGGATCAAAAGAAGGAATTTCAGATATTGTTTTATTTTTCCCAGATGCCATATTACATTAAAGTGTCAAAATTCTTGGAATATTTACTGCTATTACTGCAAATCTATGTTCCCCCAAAATAAGAATTATAAAATTCAATGGATAGGATTAATTTAGGAATTAAGAAGTTTTGACATTTTAAAGCAGAAAAGATCATTAGATTAACACGAACACCATATTCCTTCAACTTCGGCTCCCATAAGTAGCCACTTACAGCTCTCACCATCAAATTTTTGTGTTACATTAATTGAGAGGAAAGGATAAAGTTGAAAATTAACGTATCTTGTAAAGTAAAAGTATAAAAACTGAAAAAAAAAAAAAAATATATATATATATGTACTTTTTAGAATATATATGTTTGAAAATTGAAAATTCAATAATAAATTTTATTTTTAAAGAAAAAAGATGATGATCAGACGATCTAAGAAGGTGGTTCTAAAGATCTATGATTGTCCTATTCCTCTTTTTCTTTTTCAATAAAAGTAAATTTCTTTAAAAAATAATATTAAATCTTAATTTTTTTTTTTTTAAATATCTTTTATTATTTCGAATATTTGATATATGATTAAGTATTTTAACATGTAAGCTCTATTTTACTCCTCTCAATTAAATTTAACACAAAAAATGGACAGCAAAGGGTATAAGTGGCTAATTATGGAAAAAAACTGAGTTTTTAATGTTAGAGAAGGTGTAATGAAATAACCCTAACTTAGGAGCTCTAATAGAAATTCTAAGGAGTGAGATGTTTGTATTAACCTAATGATCTTTTCTATCCGTCTGAGAAACTTGCCAAATGTTATAAAACCTCATCGCTGATTATAAAAACTGTCACGAAATATCTTTTTCAAAAACATTTTACATAGTTAGCAAAAAAGACGGTGATCAGTCTATCAAGTTGGAGTAATACTATACTTACAACATAATCTCACAAACTCTCTCACAATCCTTAAGTGACAATTTCTAAATTTTTACTGATGAATTTTCAACAGTAAAAAACTGAGAACTCCCACATAAGATGATGAAAAAGAGTTTGTAAAATTGAATTGTTAACCCATCTTTATTAATAATATTTAGATTCCCACATAATCAAGTGAACGCGTTTCTACTTTCTAGTATAAACGCTTGAGTTAAAAGTAAAGTTACACATATTGAACCAAATGTGAAGAATATTTTACTCTTTAAATATTGAAATTTCATAGAATTAATTAGAATAAAACATAAAAATACCTGAATAAATCTTAATCTATCTGAGAGTATNATAAGAGAAATTAATATACAGATAATTAAATTAACAAGTTATTTGGATGGGTTGAATCTGTTATATCCTGGACTTTTAATTTAACTTATATCGCTTTTAACATAAATAAGCATGCAGAAATTATATCTATATGCAATGTATTCGTGATCTTCTGTTCTTTAATTAGTAATTACTTAACATTATCCTCGTCAATTTTTCATCACAATTCACCTAATTTTCGTTTATTGATCTTAAATATTAATATTTAATTGTGAGCATTTATTTATTTGATGTGAAATGTCGAGATATGCATTATCATTCACTATAGTCGGGGAGAGTAGTTAGATTGCAAATCATTTGTTGTTGAATTCTTATTTCAGTTCTTTTTGACGAGGGTCTTTTGGTATGATAATGCTGAAAATATTTCTTCGTCTTATGTTACAATGCGTGCTGACATCAGACTTTCATTCACTCTTTTAAGCTAAAATTAAAAAATAGATAAAGTAAATCATGTGATTCAACAAAAATAATGGTAAACACCCGCTTTTATATATACATAGTATTCATGTCAGTTTACACATATCTTATTTATCTAATATATATTGAATTTTCACTTACAAATTTAAATTTTTAAGTGGGGTGACAATTTAACATGGTATCAGAGGCAAATGTCTCAAATTTGAATCCCCCACATACAAACTAAATAAAGAAAAATGAAAAAATTTAAGTTTGATGTGAAGAGGCCTATTAATATATGTTAAGTCATCACCTACAAGCTTAAGTTTTTAAATGGTATGACAATATAACACACCTTAACTAATCATGTGATACCTTAGAATTATCAATCAGATAAAAAATCTAGTAAAGACCACTATTAGAGATTGTGATGACTTGAATTCGAGAAATCATATAAATTTATATCCTCATTTGTTCTTTTGCCATTAAATCTGATGATTGGCATTAAATATTTTTAATTATATATTTTATGGCTTTTAAGCCAAAACAAATATTTAGGATACAACACCGTATAATGTCACCAATGCATTTAAATTACTCCATTTAGTAAAATTCCATTACATAATATATAAATTGAAAATTTTATATGTCAATGTCCAGAAATTTTAACCCGTAAACCAAAAGTTAACGATTAATTATTAGCTTTAATTTTTTATTTCGTAAATTCATCATCTAATCGTTGACTTTCCGTTTACATGTTAATAATTTATAGACGTCCATACCAGAAAATGACTGTATATATAAACGTTTATCTGCAATTTACGAATAATTCTATATATTTAAAGCTACATCCCATCTGATGTAATTGTTTGTGTAACGATATTTTATTAATATTAAAATGATGAATTAAATATATTAATTTCTATGACTAGTAGTATTGATGTGCATATAAATGACGTGGAATTGTACTTATATTCAAAACTTTCAATTCGAGGTGGGACTACAGCAGATGGATATCCATAAATATTAGAAAAATGGGAAGTGCTAACATAACCATGTTCTACAAATCGATGATCTGTACCTGGCTGGGCACACAAATCTTCTATAAAAAGGCTAGAGGCCATTGTTTTTCATCACAGCCTTCTCTTGTTTAACTGCAAATACTATTGAGCTTCTTGAAATCAACAGGGAAAAGATATGTCTCCAGTTGGTCAGTTGGAAACTGATGTAGAGATCAAGGGTCCTGCCAAGAAGTTTCATGATGTCTTCAGCTGCGGAAACTGATGTAGAGATCAAGGCTCCTGCCAAGAAGTTTCATGATGTCTTCAGCTGCAGACCTCACCACATTTCCAATGTCTGCCCTAAAAAGATACAGGGTGTCGATTTACATGAAGGTGACTGGGGAAATTCTGGCTCTTTAATCTGCTGAAGTCATCACACTCAAGCCTACTGGTTTATAAGAGGGGGTAATCCTCCTATTTAACAAGGCCTTATTGGGTGAGAAGTCAGGCCCACCTCAAACTCTGACATGGTATCAGAGCAATCCGTTGCCTCCGCTACAATCCTCTCTAAGCCATTGTTTCTCTAAACCTACAAAACAAGGCAATAGGATTAGATTTTTCAAACATCACAAAATGGACCCAACCAAAACACCAATTGAACCAGACTCAAAATCCACAATGACAAATGAAGGCCCACACAACCAAAGTCCAACAGGCCCAAACATCCACATTGGTCCAAATCATCCACCAGAGCCCAACCAACAACCCGGCCTCAATTTTCAACCCGGCCCATTTCCATTCGGGTTTATAGGTCAAAACTCTAACCCGATGGGTCAAAATCCCTACCTGATCTTCCAAATCCTTCCAACCTCCATCAGTTAACCGAAACCAGGGGATGCCCTTGTGCTCGTCAAACAGCCATTGGCCGGATCTCAAAATTACGTCACTTGGGCTAGAGACTTCCGGCGAGCTCTGGTAACCAAAAATAAGGAAGGGTTCATCGATGGAACCCTTCCCCAACCCACTGAACCGCATCTGATCCAGCACTAGATTCGATGCAATACTCTTGTTCACGCTTGGATCAGTAACTCCCTGACCCAGGAGATTGCTGCCAGCTTGCCTCAGACAGAAAACGCACATGAAATGTGGACAAACATCCGAGAGATGTACGGCCAACTCGATCTCGCAAAGATTTTTACTTTGCGTAAAAACCTTCTTGAAATCAAACAACACAACTTGCCAGTCACAGTTTATTTCAATCGCCTTTTGGCGATTTAGAACAAGCTCGATGTTGTTGAAGAACCGATTGAAGGGCCTTCCATGATTCTTCTCCAGATCAAGCACCTGAAAGATCAAAACAGGTTAATACATTTTTTGATTGGTTTGAATGACAGTTTTTTGGCTTTTCGAACACAGATGTTGGCTACATCACCAGCGCCATCTCTCCAGCGCTCCTACCAATTGGTCGTGCAAGACGAAAGCCAGAGATCAGCTTCGTCTGAATCCTAACTCAGTACTGAAGCTGCTGCTTTCGTAGTCAATCCCCAACGGCGGCAGACTGGACCACTAGAGATGAAACATGGAAATGAAAAAGGGCGGCTAGGGCAATATGACAAGGAAAGCCATCTTTTATATGGAGTAGTTAACGGCCCATATCTCACCTCCTCATCCAATGGCTCACAATCAAATTGGCTTAATAACGGTTTGGGCTCAAATTTGGTTGCTATCCCAAATTCCAAAAATGGCCCCAGTTTTGTAGCTGGCCCAAATTCGGGAAATAGCCCAGTCCACTCCACAAATTTCAATTCCTCTCATAGGCCATTCAAGTCCAACAAAAATCGTTATTGCGATTTTTGCAAAAGGAGAAACCACACGAGAGACACTTGTTGGAAACTACATGGCCGCCACCAAAATCAACGGTCTAGATCTGCCACTGCCAATCAAGTAAGTCACCCTGTCAATTCTGAGAATAACGCTACGGTCCATATGTTTAGCCAAGAACAGTATCATTAGATCCTGCAACTACTAAATCAAAGTCCGCAGACCAATACAACATCCTATGCAGGTACATCTTTTTGTTCCAATATTACAAAAGAAAATTTTTGGATAATTGATTCAGGGGCTGGTGACCACATTATTTGCGATCCCAAACATTTTTCCCACACATCCCCTATACCCTATACATCAGTCCGCATGCCCAATGGTACACATGCCTCAGCCACCCAATTAGGAACTATTCATCTGAATGAACATTTAATCCTTCATAATGTCTTTGTTCCTGCTTTACGTTTCAACCTCATCTCTGTTTCTAAACTATGTCAAGATAATGTATGTGTATTAAAATTCTTTCCTACCAAATGTGACTTTCAGGACCATTTGATTGGGAATCTGATGGGCTCGGGTAAAGTTTACCATGGTCTTTACTATTGGATAGGTGCCTCTGATGCTAAAACCTCAATGTCTTGTAATAAAAGTTCTATTTTTAATACAAAAATTAATAAAACTTCCTTTATTTTGCATCAACGTCTGGGTCATAGTGCATTTATTCCTCAACCCAATTGTCCTATTTGTCCTCTTACAAAATAGTCTGGCACAAAATTTCCCAAACACACGCCTTCCACCACCCTTAAATTTTCCTCAGTTCATAGGGATATATGGGGTCCATATCACACAGCAAATCACGATGGCTCTAGATATTTTCTCACCATCGTTGATGATTACTCTCGGGCACCCTAGGTCTACCTCATGCAATCTAAAACACAGACACTCACTCACATCAGACATTTTTTGTCCATGGTCAAAACCTAATTTGATTTTTCGGTTCAACGAATTCGAACGGATAATGCTAGGGATTTTTTGAACACTCAATGTTTTGTCATTTTTTCCTCTCTTGGTGTTATCCATAAAAGTTCTTGTGTCTATACACCTCACCAGAATGACATAGTTGAACGGGAACATCGACATCTTCTAGAGGTCACCTGTACCCTAAAACACCAAGCCAACATCCCTACCACCCTTTGGGGCGAATGTGTGGTCACGACCACCTACCTGATCAATAGGATGCCCAATCAAGTTCTATATGGCAAGACACCCTATGAAGTTCTTTTTGGTAAACCACCTACAGTTGATCATCTCCGAGTGTTTGGGTGATTATGCTACTCTACAAATTTAAAGGGGTATGATAAATTTTCTCCTCGGGCTACTTCATGTGTTTTTATGGGTTACCCAATGCTTCAGAAAGGTTATCGACTATATGATATCACCTCAGGGAAATTCTTGGTTTCTAGGGATGTGGTTTTTCATGAAGATTCCTTTCCTTTTTTAGATAGGTCCCCTCATAATGATTCTCCACAGTCTCCATCTTTTTTGGAAGATCCTTTAGCAGTTGATCTATCAGGACCATATTATACTATGCATCCCATTCATGATATGGTACCCTCTAAGTCGATATCAGAACCAGTTTCCACATTTCCTAATCCATCTCCAGAGAACCAGCTTCCTAATCTGCCTCCGCTGGATAATACTCCTATTGTTCCTATTCCTCTTCAAAGATGTTCCACAAGGGTCACTCGCCCACCTGTTTGGACAGAAGATTATGTCTGTCCCACCATCTAGACTACCACAAGTACTACTTACCCTACTTCCAACTATGTTACTTATAATCGACTGTCTCCTGCTTACATGATTTGTATCAATCAGATTTTCGCCCAACAAGAGCCTTTTTGTTATCTGACGCTATTTCCCATATACATTGGTGTCAGGCCATGTACGATGAACTCAATGCTCTCTCTCAAAATCATACCTGGGATCTTGTTCCACGTCCTCCTCACAGGAAACCTCTTAGCTTCAAATGGGTTTACAAGATCAAGCACCATGCTGATGGATCCATTGAGCGCTACAAGGCTCGTCTCGTTGCTAAAGGTTTCACCCAGAGGTACGAAAGACAGTCTTAGCCACATCTTGCTCAGCCACTCTTACCTGATGGTACCCTGACCTCAAATCAATTTTAGAGAACACTACGACGCCTTTCAACTAATCGAACAAATCATCAATGCGAGGTAGCGGGTACTTATTCTTCACTGTCACTTTATTCAACTCTCTATAATCGATACACATCCGTAGTGACCCATCTTTCTTCTTCACAAACAAAATTGGAGCTCCCTAGGGAGAATGACTCGGTCGGATAAAGCCTTTATCTAAAAGCTCTTGGAGTTGCTTCTCTAATTCCTGAAGCTCTGCTGGGGCCATTCGATATGGGGCTTTGGATATTGGTGTTGTCCCTGGTGCTAGTTCAATACTAAACTCAACCTCCCTTTCTGAGGGCAAACCCGGTAACTCTTTCGGAAACACATCTAGAAACTCTCGAACTACTGGCACCCTCTGAATCTCTAGTTGGGGAACATCACCACTCTAAACTACATGGGCAATATATCCCGAACACCCCTTTCTCAACATCTTTCTAGCCTACACACTACTAATCAACATGCTCAACTGATGGCCCTCTCTAAAACTAAATTTATCTCTATTATCGAGATTAAATCTCGCTTTCTTCTTCCGACAATCAATCTCTACCCCATATCTCCCTAGAAAATCCATGCCCAATATCACATCAAAGTCGAGCATATAAAAAATTATTAGATCAACCATTAAATCTCTACCCTGGATCACTACAGACTCTCCTGACAATATCTCTTGCGTCAGAACACTTATCCCATCGGGTAACTCTATCTTAATGGGTTGAGTCACTCTNCCTCTGAACCAATTTGTGCAGAGACACATCTTCCTGGTCCTTCTCCTACTTCATCTCCAGAGAACTAGTTTTCTGATCTACCTCCCCTGGACAATACACCTATTGTTCATGCCCCTCCTCAGAGACGTTCCACAAGGGTCACTCGCCCACCTATTTGGACAGATGACTATGTCTGTCCTACCCTCCAGCCTACCACAGGTACTACTTACCCTACTTCCAACTATGTTACTTATGATCGACTTTCCCCTGCCCACAGGATTTGCATTAGTCAGATTTCTGCACACCAGGAACCATCATGTTGCTCTGAAGCTGTTTCCTATTCACATTGGCATTACGCCATGGCCGATGAGCTTAGTGCCCTATCTCAGAATCACACCTAGGATCTTGTTCCTCGTCCCTCTCATAGGAAACCCATTGGTTGCAAATGGGTTTACAAGGTCAAGCACCGTGCTGATGGCTCCATTGAGCGTTATAAGGCTTGTCTCGTTGCCAAAGGTTTCACCCAGAGAGAAGGTTTTGATTACCAAGACACATTTTCTCCCGTAGCCAAGTATGTCACTGTTCAGACTTTCTTGTCCATTGCTGCCATCCGTGATTGGTCCCTTTACCAAATGGATGTCCATAATGCCTTTCTCCATGGAGATCTTCATGAAGAAATTTATATGGACCTTCCTCCCGGCTTTCGTAAACAGGGGGAGAATATGGTATGTCGTGTACGCAAGTCCTTATATGGTTTGAAGTAAGCATCATGGCAATGGAACGCAAAATTCACATAGGCTCTAACTAATATGGGATTCACTCAATCCAAGCATGAATACTCTCTCTTCACATGGCACAAAGGTACCACTGTCATTGCTCTTATTATTTATGTTGATGATATCTTAATCACTGGGAATGATGAGAGTAGCATTTGCACCCTAAGAGAACATCTCAATAAAAATTTCCGTATAAAAGATCTGGGGGAACCAAAATATTTCTTAGGCATTGAGATTGCACGATCCCCGGCAGGTATTTCTCTAAGTCAACGGAAATATGTTTTAGAACTTGTATCAGACTCTGGTTTATCAACATGCAAACCCAGCATCATCCCTGTGGAACAAAACATTAAACTCACATCACAGCAATATGACTATGAGACAGCCTCTTCAGAAAATGACCCTCTGTTACAAGATCCAACTTCCTACCAGAGACTCGTAGGAAGACTTATCTATCTCACCATGACAAGGCCTGACATAAGTTATGTGGTCCACATACTAAGTCAGTTCATGCATCAACCCAAACAATCTCATATGGACGCAGCAATCAAGGTGCTTAAATATTTAAAGGGATGTCCTGGATTAGGACTTCTCTTACCTCGAGATGGGAATTTCGACATCACAGCTTACTGCGATTTAGATTGGGGTACTTGTCCCATGACCAGAAAGTCTCTTATAGGATTTTGTATTAAAATTGGAGGATCTCTTATATCATGGAAAACAAAAAGGCAATCAACAATATCACTTTCTTCAGCTGAAGCAGAGTATAGAGCAATGGCAAAAACAACTTGTGAGATTGTCTGGATTCTTGGATTAGTTAAAGACTTGGGAATAAAAACAGGAAAACCAGTCACTTTGTACTGCAATAACAAAGCTGCTATATATATCGCAGCAAATCCAGTTTTCCATGAAAGAACCAAACACATAGAAATTGACTGTCATTTTGTCAAGGAGAAAATTGAGGAAGGGATTATCAGGACTAGGCAAATACGAACATCGGAACAACCAGCGGACATATTCACAAAGCCTTTGTGTAGTCGTCAGCATTCTTATTTATTACGCAAGCTTGGGGTTTTCGATATCTACAAACCACCAACTTGAGGGGGAGTGATGAAATATGGAATGCTGAGAATATCCATGCTGGAATCAAGCAGTGATTGATTTGATTGATTGTAATATTTTGTAATTAAGAGTTTTTTTTTTTCCTTTACAGTATTATTTCCTTTCCTTATTGTATTCAAAGCCACTGTATAAATTGACCAATGTACATTACAAAAGAATATATACAAAATACAATTTTCTCTCTTTTGCTTGATATTCTTTGGCTCTCATTTCTGCCCTCTTTATCAAGCTTTCTTGTAGGCATTCTTCGGCAGTCTTCTGTCCCTTTTGCCAGCTTCAATCTCAAATTCTGACACCTCTCCTTTCTTTCAAGTTTTTTCCATCAGAATTCTCTCCTGATTTGATCTTTATACAGAATCAGAAAACAGAAAGAAAACATGTCAGTCGCCGCTACCTCCTCTTACTACTCCTCTACAACCACCTCTTCTCGTAGTTAGAACCAGTACCAACACCACCACCACCACCATTCAGTTTTATCTTCACTTCTAGTCTTCTTTCCTTCTCTGCCACTAGTTTTACTCTCCTTCAGTCAATACGAGACACAAAAAAGGCAAGATTAGAACACATTTATGTAATATCTTAGCAACCATCGACGTTGAAGCGGATCTGCGAGGGCACGGCCATGATTCGAACAAAGGGAAAGGCAAGTGGTGATTGTTTGTTGATTGTGTTGAAGCCGTCGTTGACGATGTTTGACCGAAATATGTGGGAACTATTTACCACTTTTTCGGCCAAATGCCATCAATAATGGCTCATCTATGTGTACCTTTGGATAGATTGACCTGAGATCTACCCAACAGCGCCAACGGTGGCAATAGACTAGCCGCCGTCGACAGTTCTAAGAACCACAAGCAGTAGTTGGCCAGCAATTTTTTTAATTTTTGTTTATTTTATATAATTTTTTAAATGTTTTAATATTTTAAAAGAAAATAAAAAATTAAAATAAACTGAATTTACTATTCTCTCCCTCTATAGTTAAAAATAACAAGAAAAATTTGATGGATGGGTGGGAAACTGTCCTTTTGAAACCTTTTGGGTGGGAACTTGTTGTTAGGCCAAACCTTGGGTGGGACCTTGTCGTTCGCCCTTTATTTATATTCATGTTACAATTGAAGAGTTGTAGTTTGGGGGGTTGGGCTCATGCTAATGAGTTGTTCAGCCTAACCCACATACATTGAAAACACTTACTCCACAAAAGTTTAAAAGTAAAAACTCAACCCGAATCCAATTGACCCCACTTCCAAACCAAACCTATCCTCTTCTCCCATTCTCCGTTTCCACAAAACAAAATCTTCACCCTCTCCCATGGATTCAATCACCTCAACTCTCCACCATCTCCTCAACCATCCCACCATCCTCCACTTCACTTGGTCCCCACCTCTCACGTTCGCCTCCTCTCCCCATTTCCTCTTCCTCACTCTCCTCACTAACCTTTCCTTCACCTTCCTCCTCTCCCGTTACTTCCCTCCCTTCTCCCTCCATCTAGCAGGAAAATACTATATCGAAGTACTATAGGCCTATCCAGCCGGTAGTGCATCATTATATCAAATTCTGACCACTTTCAAATATTAGTGGCTAGAATCTGGCAAATGTGGCTGGGTAGGGGTGTTTTCATCAATTTTTAAACTTTATTGGGGGTATTTAGTTAAATTAATAAACTTAGAGGGTTTAAAAAATTAAAAAAATATAATAATATTTTTAGAATAAGGAAATAAATGTGTATTTTGGAAATGATAGCAATAGGATAGGGCAAAAATAGGAAAATAAACGCAGCCACTTTTTTTTCTAAATCTTTTATCACAAAGTCTATGAAAATGCATTTTTAACCATCAATTTCGATAATTACTTAATAATTACGAAAAAGATAAATGACACAATGAAAAGAAACACATAATACCGCTTACCAAATAACCAAAAACCCCTTGACATATAACCAAAACTCCCTATAATATATGAAATACATAATAAATTTAATGGTTAAAATGTAAGTTTTCAAACAAAAAAGATTGTTGATCAATGGTCAATTTGGTCAAATTGACTGTTGTTAGGGGGGAAATGCAAAAAAACTGTCTTTTTGCATTTCCCCCAAAAGTGACGGGCCCAAGGCCAGTCCCAAATTGGGATCAGTTCTTGAGGGCCTAAGCTAGACTTGGGCATTTGGTACTGGACCCAAAAAAACCAGTCTTAGGAGGCCTAGTCCCAAACCTAGACTAGGCCCATGGAAGAGGGGCCGATCTAGGGACTGGTCCCTCCTCCAAGATCTTAGGCTCGGGCCCAAACCCCTTTGCTTTATTTTCAAAAGCCCCTGGACAATATCCAAGAACCCCTTATAAATTTTAAATTGACAAAATATTGAGGGTTAAATTGATATTTTACAAAATTAAAAAAAATTACATTTATGGTAAAATTAATTAATTAAATTATCTATTTAAATTTTAAATTTAAAACACCCTATATTTATAAATAATTATTGATTATAACTAACCATTAATTTATTTATTATTTTTCAAAATTAATTAAAAATTTACTAATTTCCCCCTAAAAATTACTAAAACCCCCTACATAATTTTTTTTGGCCCCTTAAATATAAAAAAAGTTGGGGAGGTGGAATTTCCTGGCCCATAGGACTGGTCCAGGCCCTAAAATTTTTCATGGGCCTAGGATCGGTCCTAATCAGGCCCAAACCCGGACCTGGTTAGGACTGGTCCTTGCCCAGGTCTGGCCTGGGCTGTCCCTCCTCTACCTAAAACAATCAAGAGTGACAAATGTTGCAAAAAGTAGCTAAAGTATAAAAATGGCAATTGTAGAACAAAAATGACATAATTTAATCCATTTGATATTATTTTCACCATAACAAACTCATTTATCTTCTTATTAATATCAGTTTCGTAGCTCATGAATATAATTAAGATATGTATTAATATATTTTAAATGTGAATTTCTTATGCTCTAATATTGTTATCATTATTCAATTTTGTTTTTGTTTATAGATATATGTTTCTTATTAGTGTATTAATATGTTTTTGTTTATAGATATACCTAAAATAAATGTTTATTTTGCTTTTAGTATTTCAATATTTTGAAAAAGTATACAAATATAAAATTGGTTTGTGTCCAAGACAACTTTTTTATTTTTCATTTTTTTCTCTAAGCTCATTTAGCCTATGCTGCTAGGGTAAACCTAGCACTAGCACGTGCAATTAATTTTTCCCACCCAAGGTTTGGCAAAATGACACTTTCCCATGCATTAAGTTCAAAACGACACTTTCTCACCCACCGTTATGTTCTATTAAGAAAATTCATTCTGAAAAAGGACAAAATGGTCAATTTACATGAAGGCTTAGAAATCAAAATAAAAAAATTGAAATTTCGATCCGTGTAGTTCTTCTCTTTTCTTTTCCTTTCCTTTGCTCCACCTCTTTTTTCCCTTTTTATCTTTTCTTCGCCATCATCTCCTTCTATGCTGGAGGTTGCGATGCTGGTGTAACCTACAGCCGCCAATTGGGTTGGCGGCGTCGCAACCTTCAACCATGAGTTGGGCCAGCTGTGACGCCACCAACTTAGCTCGCAATTGGATGTAGCTTCATAGACAACAAAATTGCGGCTGGAGGCAACGTCACAAACACCCAGCTCGGCCGCGACACTAACACTAACACCAAAGCCCCCTTTCTTTTTCCACACACATTTTTTCTTTTGGATCTTATGGTCTGTGGGTTTGTGATTTTTGGGTTTAATTTTTGTGGATTTTCAGTGGTTGGAGTCTGTAGTCTCTCTTTAATAGTCACCCCCCTCCCTCACTAACTAAGGCTAAGGTTATAAAACCCATATCCACATATTTCTTTATGTATGAAATTATATTTATCTTTAATGTTTATGCCAAGAATGAAATTATGGGTGGATTAGTGGATATGAACTATCCATATGCATTAATTGGGCATTGAGAAGCGGCTTGAGAAAGAGTAGAGAACTGTGTGATGATAATCCATAAATTATACAGTTTTTATTAGATCTTTTTGTCGGATTTCATGTACTTTCTGGTGCATTTTGACCTGAATTGGTTCCTAATTCGTTACTTTTCGTATTTCAGGATAAAATGGACATTTTGAGCAAATAAGCACAAAATTGGATATTTTTGACTCAGAAATTAGTGGATTTCAGAAGATAGGGGAGTACCGGAGTAGGATTAAGCACGATGAAGCTTGTTCCCAAGGAAGAGAGCCGAGAATCGAAGAATCGAACGAAGAAGCAAGCGGAGTGGCAGTTCTGCAATTTCAGAACTCAGGAAGAAGCTTCGCCCCAGCGAAGGAAATGTCTTCGCCGTGGCGAAGTAGGCCAGGGACGAACTTATCTGTTTCATACTTCGCCGCGACGACAGTCAATTTATTCAGTTTTGTTAAACGCACAGTTTCGTGTTGTGCGTGTTTTGGCTGGGTTTTTGGACTAATTATAAAAGAAAAACTTAACCTTTTGCCAAGGGGGCTTGAGCTGTTTAGGTTTAGCCGTTTTTACACTTTTCTTAGAGTAAAGCTTTGAGTTTTTTGGATTGTTTAAGGGAGAAGGTTCAGATTTTGACTAGAAGATTCATCTTTTGGGGAGATTTCTTATCTTTCATCTCAGTTTCATTATGTTTAACTTGCTTATTTCTATTTTTCGTTTTTGTAGTATTAATTTAGCTATGAACTAATCTTTTATGGGTTAGGGTTTTGATTGTAGTTTGGATTTTAAATGGGTTAAGTGTTTGATTGTGTTATTTCCATGTGAATAAGCTTTGGGTGTGTGTTACTCTGAAATTAAATGCTGTATGTGATGAACATGATGAGATTGAGAAATAATTCATGTTAGGCTTCTTGGGTAATCACCATTATAGTATTGGATGCTAGAGATAGATTCAAGAATTAATGAAATCAATTTAGGATTCTTGTGCTTAATGAATTTAGAATTATTAACCTTCAATTTGTTGGGTGCGGAATGTTAATAAG